ATTGATGTAACGGAAGTAGTTGTACTTTGTGTTCCTCTATAGTAGAACTGTAGTTTTTGAACTTTTATTTAGAAATAGCACAGCTATGATTTTAGGCTTGATATTGGTAGCTAAAAGTAGCCTAGGACAGCAGGGTAGCATTTATCATTGTGTTGAGACAGTAAGTGTGTGTGTGTGTGCGCGTGTGTGTGTTGTGTCCTCATTGGCTTGGGACGGGAGGGGAGGGTGAATCTAACCCCCATCCCTTCTCTTCCCTCCCTTTCTCCTGCTGTTTCATAACTCTCTCCTTTCTAACACCATGTTCTCCTTCTCATTGTCGTCTCCTCCCCACCACTGTCCTTCGCTGAAAACGTTATACCTCTTTTGTCCTTGTTTTTCTTTGTTCTGGCGTCTTTCTTTCCCTTTCCACATTTGACACCCTTGACACCCATTCCACCCATGCCGTCACACTGTCATAAACACCACTTCCTCTTTCACACCCTTGTAACATTATTATCTGCACCACCCTCGTCTTGTCAACTTTCCTGTGTGTGTCTTCACACAATCTTAACCCCGTGAACCTGCACGCTCCTCTCCTACCCCTCCTCACCTTCCCCCTGCTTCCGCTGGTTGTCCTAGCCGATGGAAATTTTTGTGGACGACGAGACCAAGCTGACGCTTCACGGCCTCCAGCAGTACTACGTCAAGCTGAAGGACAACGAGAAGAACAGGAAGCTCTTTGACCTCCTGGACGTGTTGGAGTTCAACCAGGTATCTGGAGAGTCCAGTAGGACACATGCAAAAGTCTCCAAACACTAAGTCGATTCAAACCAAGAGTGACGAGAGAGAGACCGCACTGTTTTTTGCCGCTTTCTAAGAAACGTTTGCATATCTGAAAGCAACATGCACTCTGGTCATTCACATGCTTTAATGCAAAATACAGTGCAACCCATTTGAATACAGATTTTGTTTATCCAATCAAATGCAAACTACAACCCAATGGAATGGAATGGATGAAAGTAAAATTATAGGGGTGAGGATAAAATACAATCGAGTTCAAAACCACATTCAGAATCTGAGATTTACAATCTTAAACATAGAAATAAAGTTTTGATGTAACATAATTATGCAATTTTACAACCCTAACCTTAAACCTTAAATAATGTATATGGTTTAGGGTCCATAAGATTTAAAAAAAAATGTTTTTGAAATAAATATCTTATTCTTACCAAGGCTGCATTTGTTTGATCAAAAATACAGTAAAAAATAATATTCTGAAATGACTAATATATCTGAAATATTTTAATTTAAAATAACTTTTCTAAATGAATATATTTTAAATTGTAATTTATTCCTGTGATGGTAAAGCTGTATTTTCAGTTTCATTGCTCTAGTCTTCAGCGTCACATAATCCTTCAGAAATCATTCTGATATACTGATTTGCTGCTCAAGAAACATTTCTTATTATCAATGTTATTTTTGTAATGTAATGTGTTTTGTTGATTTTGTGGAAACTGAGATACATTTTTTTCAGGATTCTCTGATGAGTAGAAAGTTGAAAAGAACAGCATTTATTTGAAACCTCTTTTG